AGGCTGGGGGAGAGGAGCCTCAAGGCTGGGGGAGAGGAGCCTCAAGGCTGGGGGAGAGGACCCACAAAAAACGAGGGAGAGGAGCCACAAAAAACGAGGGAGAGGAGCCACAAACTGGCTCATTTGGCTTCCCCAGGAGAATGTGCTTGGGAAGACGCTGGATCCCTTGAGCCCATAAACTCAGAGGAGGAGGAAGGGCTGAGCCCTTGGCAGGCCAGGGACAGAGGAGCGTCCCCAGTGAAGGTCGCATGCAGGAGCAGCTGCCCCCGCCTTTCCCAGCCGCAGCCCCGGCTCCGATGTGCAGCCCCGCAGAGCCGAGAGCCACGCTGCTTCAGCGTCCGCCATACCTCCGAGCTTTCTCCATCTTGCTTCTGCTTTTTAGCCTTGCGTTCACCATTCTCTTCCTCGTCGCACGATCGCCTTCGCTTCCCTTTCCCTGTCGAACAAAGATGATGGCATTCGCTGTTAAAAACTTATCGTCAGGGTCTCAGGTGAAGCGCTGCCCAAACACCCCCCTGAAACCACCCGGTAGTGCCCAGGGTTACCCCAGGGGGGTCCTCACCTACGAGGTTCAGCCTGGGCACGACGTACATGTCCTTCTCATCGATCACCAACGTGGGGGCGGGGGGCGGCGGCGCCTCGGGGCTCTCGGGAGTTTCGGGGACCAGTGGGCACCTCTGCACAAAGTGGGTGTCCGCCAGGCGCACAAAGGTGTTGGAGACGTCGGCGTAATCCATGGTCTTCCCGTCTAGGAGAGAGGACAGAGGCGGCGAGCGTCAGCCCTGTGGCTCCAGAGGACGAGGTGACGCTGCGGTCCCCAGAGAACCGCTAAGGACAGGCTGCACCAAGGCCGTTTTGGGGGGGGGAGGCTGCATTTATAGGCCCCCCGGCAGCAAGGCCACCCTAGGGTGGCTCCTTCTCCAAGTTCACGGCCAGCTTTGCGCTGTAACGCAGCCCACAGAGCCTCCGGTGCCACATTCACCCAGCAAAAGTGGCCGGCGGCAGCCGCTGCACCTCTCCCGCTCCCGGATCCCTTCTTTAAGAGGGGATTCCCACCTTCCATCGTTTCCGTCAGCCTGTCCGCCACCTTCCTCACCACCGCGCTCATCGTCATCTTGCCGTTGAGGAGCAGCTCTTCCACGATGAGCTCCCCCGTGTCGCTGTAGAGGGTCTTGGCGGTGTAGATGTAACGTGGGTAGCGGAGGATCCTCAGGACCCGCTTGCACTGGGCCTCGTACTCCACGAAACCTCGCTTCTGCAGCTGGTATGTCACCAGGTTGTGTTGGATGAGGACGCAAAGGGCCTTCTTAACCTGCCCGGGGCAGAGCGGGGCTGGGTTACACAACAGAGAGGCCTGGGCTGCGCTCACCCCCCTTCATGGTGGGCACGGAGCATTTCCTCTGGGCGCAGCCACCCCCTTCCCGCCACCGTGACCCTCCCCAGCGCTGAGCTGTGTTTTGTGACACCATCTTGTCCCCTGCGCACATCACCCCCGTCCCTCTGGACTCCATCCCCTGCCTTTGCTCCCTACGGAGTTACGGTCTCCTCCTTCCCAGGAGGCAACGAACCATCTCTCCTGCTTAAGAAAACTCAATTTTTTTTTTTTTTTTATAAGTATCAAAGCACTCATTTGTCCTTCTCAAGGTTTTTTCCCCCCAGTTTCTCCTTTGGGAGCAGCAGGGGTGGTGACTAGCAGCCCGGGCTGATAGCGGAGTGGTCCAGGCTGCGTTATCTAAAGCCTCCCATCGCACCCAGGCTAAAGCCGGCGCGGGCGGGTGCGAGACGAACCTGATCCAGCACCAGCCCCGTGTCATTGACGATCATCCGAAGCGGCTGGGTGCCCGTCCTGATGAGGTAAGTCCCTATCTTCTCCACGATCTCCCCAAAATGTTCTTGCAGCAGGAGGGAACACAGCTTTATTTCCGCCTGAGTCATCTCGCCAGCCGACAAAAACACCCAGTGGTGCTGGGGGGGAGAGCTGATGTTATTATGGCTGGTTTGGGGTGGGGGGATGGCGGGGGCCGTGCTGCTGCCACCCAGAGAAACCCGGCTGTGCTCCATCCCACAGGGACGCAGGGTGGGAGGCAGAGTCTCGAGCAAAACTGGCCCCTGGCGCTGTGGCGGGGCTG